CAGACCGAACAGGATTTTGCATCTGGTCTGACAGAAAATCGTGTCTTATTGAAAGTGAATGGGAATGAACACACCCTGACTAAGATAGACCCTAGCCAGGTCTATTTTAGTTGGACTACATAACAACACTACATTCGGCTGCAATTTCATGGGTCTGACAGGAAAAGAGGCGCAGTTAGAAAGTAAAGACATGTGTTTGAGGAAAATACAAAATAAAGGCTCTCATAAAAAAAAAAGGCAAGACAGAATCGGGCATAAACAACCAATGAAACATTTCAAGAAGACAAAAATACTTCACCAATGAGTTCAGGAGGACAGAAAACGAATAAAGTAAAAAAAAAAAAAAAAAAAAAAAAAAAAAAAAAAGTAATCTTGTTTGTGCCTCAGGGACAAAGGAAGAAAGTTTCTAACCTCTATAAAATAATAAAAAAAAAAAAAACTCAGGCAAACTTCCCAGGTCGCTCTCCCAGAGTCACTCCTCACTGCCTCACTCAGTACCTAGCCTATATATAGACCTAAAATTCCCAGGGCCTTTATTTCTGTTCCTTTTCTTTAAACCTACAGTAGTAACCAGTATATTATGAAAAATGTTCTGATTTAAAAGCATGCTTCAAAGGGTGGTCATGAAGGGATGTTTTTTATTCCTTCCTTTTTATTTATTTTTTTACTTAATAATCAATTGTTTCAATTGGTGGGGCATGGAGACAGAAGTGAAAAAATTCTGCACCGATTTGGATTTTCTACCTTATGCAAATTAGGAGCCTCACTATATATGCACTGCAGTCAGTTGGTGTGTTCAGATCTGCCATCGGGGTCTTCAAGCGAAGGTCAGACATTTTTTCTCAGTTGCAGGTCTTGCAAAAAGGATGATGATCCAAATCACACAGCAAAAAACGCCCAAGAATGGCTATTCTGAAGTGGCCTTCTATGAGCCCTGACCTTAATCCTATTGAACATCTTTGGAAGGAGCTGAAACACACTGACTGGAAAAGCCCTCCTTCAAAACATAGCCAACTGGAGTAGTATGCTCAATACCTGCTAAAGCCGGGCATACACTGTGCTATATTTTCAATTTTTGCACACAGCTCAGCTCAAACTGGGTGACGAAACGAGGGTTTTAAAAGTTAACAGCTCACGATGCATGTTCTCACACAGTGCAGCCCGACGCTCTGATGTGATCTACCTGCTCACACCACACGTCCAAAAACCACACGTCGGACAGAGTGCCGAGAGAAGAAGAAGCAGAAGAACTCCCTTGTTTGCACATGCGCAGTGCTCAAGGTTTTGGCAAATTGGCTCGTAGCTCTGCTTCAACAGCAGGATTAACCACAAACACCTTTCGGTGGCCGACTAAATTGCAAACATGTTTGATTTTCTCCCGACTTTACGATTACTGATTGGGAGGTGGTTATGAGAGGCTAATCACCCCTGTATACTGTATGACTCAGGATGCAGGAGGAGGCTGAAACTCGGCCAATAAACATATCGTTAAAATTATAAAATTGGAGTTGCTAAATCTCTGTAAATGTCCTTCTGTGTGTGATGCAGATGGAAATACAAATGACTAGATTGGAATGCAGGGTGAACACCACTTATCCAATATCTGATCCAGCTAATAGGTCAATATTTGAACCCATATCTAATCCAAGTATCGGATGACTGCATCTCTGCCCAACTCTGCATCTTTGTCGCCATATTTGGGTACTTTTAAGACCTCTCTATTCACTGTTTGCAAAAGAAAAAAAGCAGCAAGAGACAAATCTAGTGGACTTTCTCTGTTTTTCTGTGGATTTAACAACTTCATGAGAGCAGCAGGTGTTCTACCCTTACTGTTTTGACAGCAGTGAATTCCGTACGTGTTGTGTCATAGGTACAGGCAGCTGCCATGTCCTGAAAGCACTGCATGAAGTCAGAGCAAAGACAGCAGAGAGGAAACCCGTTTTTTCAAGCTGATGTATTATGCATGCCCAAAACTGCAGATGATTCTACCTTGGATTACAAAGAGGGATATAAATATCTTAAAAATAAAATAAATGTGTTTTTTCTAAATTTTTTGCACTAAAATTACCACACAGCTTGAATTACTTACTTATGTCATAATGTGTGTGCCTCTGAACACTATCTTTTTGGTCAAATTAGATGTATGCATTGGAGAGCGTGGCAATGCCTAAAAATTCACACATTATTTCATTAAATTATATTATTATATGTTGCATTTCAGCAACATTTAATGACAATGATGTAGTCATTTTTATAGTTTTGATCCCGGTCCCCCAAAAAGGCCATGCAGGGAGGGGCAGGTCCTCCATGAAAAAAATAACTTGAGTCTAGGGCACATTACCTGCTAGAATTTAATACAGCTTTAAATTTCCAATGCACTATAATATTAAGCATGAAGATGCACAACTGAATGAAAACTGTTATGTAGAATACAGTTATATTGCATTTCTATCAGAATTTCACAGTCTTTGATGACAGGGAACTATTAAAATATTCAAAACTGAATATGAGCAAAACAACCAAATCAGAAAGCTAGACCAACAGATAAACTTTGTTTTTACTCAGTTAAACTATTAATAACATACAGTTAATCCTTTTAGTGTAGTGTAATTAATTCCCCCCCAAAAAAGCTGCAAACTGTTTGGGTTTGGTATACTTAAATTCCAGACGAAGATGGTCTAGTGAGAACATAACAGTTACATCAAACCATAAAACGTAACTGCAGAAAATGACAATTCATTTTGACACATACCTCAGTGTTACATGTTTCCATAAGAAAACATAAAGCCTAACTCCACTGCTATTTCATCCCCAAACCTTAGGTTTAACCCCCTTTGTTTATTTTCTGTTCATCTTTCTTCCTTTTTCTCTTCTCAGTTTTTTTTTTCTAAGCTCTCAAATGATGAAAAAAAATGATTCAGTCAACAACCCAAGATAATGGAAGCAATTTGGTAGAACATTGCACATTGAGAGCCTCTGTGAGCTGTGTCATACAGATTTTTATTACGAGTTTGGATTGTGTTTTTTCTTCTTATGTAAAAAAACAACCAAAACATAACCCATGGACAGGAGCGCTTTGATTGGATAATTCATAGATTACTTATATATGGGGTCATGGAGCTCTGCTGTCCTGCACATTTTAGATGTGTCTCTGCTTCCACACACCCGAATAAAATGGCTGAATCACCTCAGTCATTTGACCTTAAATCTGTTCTTATTTCTGAAATGATCAAAAGACAATTCACATTCGCTGCTTGTTACGCTTATCCTTTCGGGTTATATATTTACCTGTCAATGTGAACCCCAACAGCATCATGTGTGAGAGTGATAGAGGGAGGCCCATCACTCAAATGTTTTTTTTTGTTTTCACAGAATCATGTGGTGCAGCTTTATTTACTTATAGACTCAGAAAAAACATTGTTTTATTCAAATGAATTAGCAGGGGAGAAGAAGTTTAAAAATATATGCACCACTATAAATCAAGTACCTGGAATTGTCTCATTATAAATGTCTTGAAATAACGTTAAAAAGGGAGAAAAATCATTTAAAAGGCCCTATCTTGTTAAATATAAACATACATTCTCAAGTTTGACAGATAACTTAATCTACATAATTATTTATTAGTACCAGGTTACTTTGTTTTTACTCACTTAAACAGCGAATTGATAGATATTAGCTTTAATTTTACATTTTTCATTTTTAAAGCGGAATTCATGAGGTTGTGTCTTACTATTATCAATAATTATATTACAAAAGTGAAAAATGTAAACATAAAAGATAAATATGAAGTATTGTTTTATAATTTTTTGGCAGTGGCACCACCATGTTGCAGTATCAAGGTTGTGACGTTATGGGGTTGGTTGATGCTTCAGCTAGGAGAAGAACACATTGGTTATACCGGCGATACCTCACGCTTAGGGTTGAAACAATTAATTGGATTAATCATGATTAATTGATTATTGAAATAATCGTCAACTAATTTAGTAGTCTATTAATCGATAACTGGAGTTTAGAGACTCTAAAACCTATCTTTAGCTGAATGAGCAGCCCACTTTATAATATCAATTGCCAATCAGAGGAGCAGAGCAACAGAAACATAAGAAAAATCTCACAGAAGTCTAACAGGAAATAAGATGTCTAAATGGGAAAAGAACAATAGAATACAAAAGAATAAACAAGTAAAAAAAAAACACATGACAAAAATAAACACAGGGAATCAAGTAAAAAAAAAACACATGACAAAAATAAACACAGGGAATAAGTAAAGAAATTAAGCCCTGAAAAATAATAGTAAAGAGCATAGAAATAATCAGGATATGTACACAGATTACAAACCAAACCCTTCAGGATTTTAACATGGAGCTCTTTTTAAACTTCAACTATAAACCTAAGAAAGTGTTGACATCAACTCCCCTCTGTTTACAACATCCTAAATCATTTGGCCATCTCTGATTTCTGCTCTCTGGATCTTTCTCTGCTGTCATGGCTCAACCAATGCAGAGCTACTGTTGCCCTGCTTGTTAAGATAACCTGCATGATTGCCTCAGATGTCAAACATAAACTCCTACCATGGTGGATCCAGTAGATGGCCTCGTTGGGTCTTTCTGTGCCTACTGGCAACAAGTTCAGCCCAGGACATAGGTAATCCATTTTTAGCACGACTTCTGATTTTAAACTTCATAGAAAAATAAATAGGCCTACTTGGGACAGTTGTCTCATTTGTGAAACAAAAAACAAAGGAGTTATAATCAAATAAATGGAGGAAAAATATACCCACCACCCGTTTTCAATAAACTCTTCACCACATAGCTAAAAATTATTTTAAAAGTAGGTGTTTAGATGTTTGGGATCGACTCTACCCCTTCAATCTCTTCGGATGGAGAAATTGTTGCAGGGATAGTAGAAATAAGCAGCATGCAGCACCAGCTGAGCAGAGAGAGAGGCGAGCGCGCATGAATTACGCTCTTGGAGAGCTCAGAGTCATTCCCGTCACCCTCCGCCGGCTTCAGTCACATCGCGGTGCTGCAGCCTCACTGAATGTCGCACCAAAAAGGAAAATGGACCCCGGTAAAAGAAACAGGACAGCTGATGGGAACCAATAATACACCTGAGGACCGGAGCGTCTTGGAGAGCTTCCCACAGAGGAGAGCGCACAGAGGGTGAGCGCCATCCGTTGCTTCAACATACAAAGTGGATAAATCTCAGCAACAAATTTGAGCTGAATGATTTTATAGTTTATTTTATAACTTTAAAAAAGGTTAAATTCAAATATATATATTTTTAAGCTGACCCAGGACGCCTGAGCGTTTCCGGAGCTGTTTATTGCCGCACAGCAAGGCGCACGCTGTCTTAAGATAAAAGCCTCCTGATCAACACCTAAAACTGCATCGGAATTTAAAGGACGTCCTTCAAGGGATCCAACTGTCAGAGAAGATTTAGGTGGGTGGTCAGGATGAGACACGTCTTTTTTTTCTTTCTTTAATGGCCATGCGCGTTAAACCACAACTAGGGAAAACGCATGAGGATTTGACTGCAGATCACACCAAAAATTCATGATATAATTTAACTTTTCTCACCAATTACTACTTTCAATCACTATGCACACCTTTTATTTTATTTAGTTAAATTATTAAAGATATAAAGAAATATTAATGTAAAGTATAATAAAAAAGAAGCCACCTTTTATTAGGGGTGAATCCACATCGATACACATAGGGAGACGCCTCAAAAATCATTAAACAAATCAGATAAATGCAGTGCCAAAACCATCAATGGAAGTTATTGATGTGGTGGTATATAAGGCTAATGATTGGCAAAACATCAGTTGACTGGAAAGCTCAGCAACAGTATGCTCTGAAACAATAGCTGCATGCAAAAACAGGGTGCAAAAAGAAGATCTTCATTTGATGGATCTATTTTTGTTTCAGATTATTACATGAAAACTGCTCCTGACTGGGAATGCGGATGTAAACAACAGCTGGAAATTTGCTCCCGCTCTACAAACTAGAATGTCGACCCTCTGCCCTGCTGCTGCTGCAGGAATCTGTGGACCGGGGATTTTTGGAAAGGATATTTCTGAAGAGGAAATACTTAAGAATTTATAGCTGCACTTTCACAAAAATGTTTTTTGTGATGAACAGCCAGTGGATGACCCAGTCCGAGAGAGAGCTGGGACCCAGGCAATTACCATCTTCACCTTCTGTGTAAAATCAAAAGCTTGAGCAGAAGCACAGCTTCTTCAACCCGTGGTTGTGATGGGGTGATTGTTGACATCCCCATTCGCCCATCCTCCCTCTCTTACTGCATTAGTGCCGCGATTTAAAACAATGGATCAGAATTTCTCAATGGTAAGAGACAGCAAGCAGCTCACGCCAGAGAGAGACTCGTCTAAGCGTGTCCTCACAGGATGCTTTCTTTCCCTGCTCATCTTTACCACGCTGCTTGGCAACACCCTGGTGTGTGCTGCTGTTACCAAGTTCCGACACCTAAGGTCAAAGGTCACCAACTTCTTTGTAATTTCGCTGGCCATCTCAGACCTCCTGGTGGCTATTTTGGTGATGCCATGGAAAGCGGCCACAGAGATCATGGGATTTTGGCCATTTGGGGCATTTTGCAATGTCTGGGTAGCATTTGACATTATGTGTTCCACTGCCTCCATCTTGAACCTGTGTGTCATTAGTGTAGATCGCTACTGGGCGATCTCTAGTCCGTTCCGTTATGAACGCAAAATGACCCCTAAGGTGGCGTGCCTGATGATCAGTGTAGCATGGACCTTGTCTGTACTCATTTCTTTTATTCCTGTTCAGCTAGACTGGCACAAAGCTGAGACCACCAGTTATGCAGAGCTAAATGGGACATACCCCAGTGATCTGCCTCCTGATAACTGTGACTCTAGCCTTAATAGGACTTATGCTATCTCCTCCTCTCTCATCAGCTTTTATATCCCTGTAGCCATCATGCTCGTCACCTATACCCGGATCTACCGCATTGCCCAGAAACAGATTAGAAGAATATCTGCCCTGGAACGTGCAGCGGAGAGTGCCAAAAACCGACATAGCAGTATGGGGAACAACTCAAATATTGAGAGCGAGAGCTCATTCAAAATGTCTTTTAAACGAGAAACCAAAGTCTTAAAGACGCTCTCTGTCATCATGGGTGTGTTTGTATGCTGCTGGTTGCCCTTCTTTATCCTGAACTGCATGGTTCCTTTTTGCGAACCAAACCTGCCAGATGGGTCCACAGAGTTCTTCTGCATCAGCTCCACAACTTTTGATGTGTTTGTGTGGTTTGGCTGGGCAAACTCCTCCCTCAATCCCATCATCTATGCCTTCAACGCAGACTTCCGCAAGGCCTTCTCCATCCTCCTTGGCTGCCATCGGCTGTGCCCAGGGAGCAATGCTATTGAGATCGTCAGCATTAACAACAACATGGCTGCCCATGCGCCCAACCCTAACTCTCAGTATCAGCCTAAGAGCCACATCCCCAAGGAAGGGAACAACTCTGCAAGCTATATGATTCCCCACAGCATCCAGTGTCAGGAGGATGAATTACAAAGGAAAGATGGATGTGGAGGGGAGATTGAGATGGGGGCAAACAACACCCTGGCGAAACCATCCCCAGCCATTTCTGGGAATTTAGACAGTGATACTGAGGTCACACTGGAAAAGATCAATCCCATCACACAGAACGGGCAACACAAAGCTTTGTCAAGTTAAAGACACCTTGTAAAGATGGATCAAAATTCAATGAGACAAAAGCTCACACATGAGGATAGTTTAACACACAAAAGGACAAGGATCTCCAAGAATATGCCTGACAGAAAAAAAAAAAAAACAAATGACAAGACTCCAGACTGTCAACAAAAATCTACATAGATAACCTACAGAATGTTCAAATGTAAAGGCACTTTATCTTGGGTATAACTATCTGCAAAATAATTTCAGTATTTGTGGATGAAATCCTTATATTTGGTTCTAAATGTTGTTTATGTGTACATTAAAGCAGAAAAAACAATGCATATGCATACATCTTTATTATATCTCCTAGGATGTATACATCTGCATGCGTGTGCTGTACAGTTCAGCATTAAAATGGAACTCTGGCGGGATGTAAACACACTTTGGTCAGCAGAGGAAAAAATGTAGTACTAGTGAAATATCATGTAGGTAGGTGCTTTGTAGGTGTTACATTAAGGAAAGAGCAATGTGGAAAAACAAGTGCAGTACATTTTTTACACCATTTTATTTTAAAATAAAGATGAAATTTCTGTAAACACTAAGGCAACTTTGTCTAAGTCAAGCCTAAATAAGATTGGTTAGCCTTATCTTTAGTTTAAGATGCTGATGTTAAATCATCCAGATAGACAGAGAAAGAGAAAGAATGGAAAATTTAGAAATGACTGATATGGTTTGTAATCAGTCCCCTTTATCCTTTCTCTTATCAAATCAGAGCCAAATGGAATTGAACAAAACATCTCACCCCGCTCGTTTTTTTCTCTCCTCTATCCTTCTTTTATTGCCCGCCCTCCCATTAAGCAGAGTCATTCAGTGTGTTCTTATCCTCATTTTCCTACTCTTGTTTACACAATCTACAAATCCCATTCTCTTTTACCACCCCCTATCTCTCACTCCTCGCCTACTCCTACATTATCCTCTTTTAATATTTGTGTTCCTGTCTGCGCTCTCTTCACAATCTTCTTTGGCAGCCCTTATTTTTAGGTACTTCCTTTGACAACTCATACAGGTTCTAATGATGCCAAATATTTTTGCTTACATTTAAAAAAAATGCAGTCATAAAGAGAAATCAGGGATGCAGGTTCACTGAGCTAAAGCACAGTTGACACTTGGTGACCTTTTGCAAACTTGCAGATATCAGATTTGTAAATTGCTCACGCTGGGCACCATACTGCGCTGTAGAGGCGATGTGGAGCACGCAGTGTGATAGAGTTGCTCCGTTTTGTAGAGGTGGAGTCACAGACAACACACCAGGATGTGGATCGGCTCATAGCTGTCGGACATGTTTTGTGTCTTTGCACAGATGCACTTTGAAAACAAAACAATACGATTATGACTAATTAGGAGTAAATTGGTAAATTTCAAAGTAGAAGGCCTTTAAGTGTTATCATAGAATTTTCCAGCTGCTGCTAATCAGGATACAGCTGCCTTAGCAATGGTTGGCATTGCGGCTTTATTTCAGTGGTTTTAATCAGATGTATTGCTTCCTCAGAAACCTGATTTTGCATTGTCCATATTATGGCTACAATCCAAACTAGATATTTTTTTACTTGTGATTTTCCTTTAAACAAAAAATTTGCTGTCACAACTTTAATGTATTTATTTTGTATTAGATTATCAACAACAGCTTTGTGGTCATGTCTCACTTTGCTCTATTGTCTTCTTTATTGATGAAGTTCAGGGTAATTTTAACCAACTGTAGTTTACATCTAATTTTCAGCATCCCTGTTAATATAGTATATATATATAAATATACAATTCCATTGAGATTTCTATTAAAATGCCATGATACATATGTATTGTCACCAGCTGGATGAATAGCCACAATTCCTTCATCAGAATTTATAAGAACATAATTTTGAGTTTGCCTGATGCAGGGTTAAACTAAACTTTATCTTTTGAAATTTATCTTTTTTGTTTTTTTTTATGACAATGGTTCTATGACAGCGCATTAGAACCAGGCTAGAGATTTTTTTTCAAATACAAGAATAAAGTCATAACATTATGAGAATAAACTTGCAATATTATGATAATAAAGTCGCAATATTACAAGAATAAAATCATAACATTACGAGAATAAAGTCATCCATTTATGAGGATAAAAAGTCATTAAATTACTTAAATAAAGTTGAAAAATTACAAGAATAAAGTCATCATATCACAAATCGTTTCAGAAAGAAAGCTTCGAACTTCAAGCCGGCCGACCAGCGCCACCAAACTGCAACCTGAGTCTACTTTCAAATCCTGCCCAATTTGATGCTGGCGCTAAAAGATTTCCTTATTTGTCAAACCGGTGCCAAAGTATAACTTCACATGATGCTCAACATTCCCCCTTTTTCCCCATTTTAGGAAAGAAAGTGCTTCTTGAGAGAGTTGTCATAAAATAAAAAAATAATAAAATGCAACTTTTTTATTCTCGTAACGTTGCAACTTTATTTTTGTAATTTTATGACTTTATTCTTGTAATGTTCCGACTTTGTTCTCGTAAAAAAAATTTCAACTTTATTATTGCTCCTTAAGACACCTCTTCATTCTCAAATATAGTTGTTATGTGTTAAATTGTGAAATGAGAACAGGCTAAGAGATTAGGGGGAAAAAAATTGGTTCTACCGTTTTTGTGGTTTCAAACACAGAACCCCAGATCCAGCCTGCATGAAGTGGGCCTCTTTTTAATAGTTGTTGAAAATGTAGACCCTACGTATCTACCACAAACTCAATGTTATTAGTCATCTATGGGTTTTAAAAATCTCAGTTTTTCTGTCCAATAAATATAAAATATTTAGGTGATATGGACTGGTCCTTGGCCTTTTAGGGAAACCCCAGAGCTGATAACTAGACACAAATAATTAAGCCTTTGGAGGAACTTAGTTTAGCTGCACACACAAAATCTGACAAATCTTTAAAATACAGGCTGTATAAAAAAGTTTTTGCATCTACAGCTGACATAATATGAAAGAAAGTACACAACCATGAGCTATAGGTGGACTGTAATCAGGGGTCTTAGTGTCGTTCATTCAAAAATACCTTGATTGGCAGATCAAATATCCCTAATCTAAAATGAACAACAACAACAAAAAAAGAACACAGGCTACAGGACCCAATAAATCTCTTTTAATTTTAGATGAATTTTATTTCTTTTTTAGGAAGTATGCCTTACACTCCGTAATATACATACACTAAATATATACAAAGCTTGATGTGGAACTGAAAGTACAGATTTTAAACATAATGACAGGAAAATAATCCAGAGAGACAGAGTTAAAATGTTTTATTCAGTGAGAAAATAACTTGATTAAATTTCATAAATCTTTAATTACTCTGAGGAAAATATGTATGGGGCATTTGCATACCATGTATTAATCAGTCCAAAGTTTATTTCACTTCCTCTTTCAGTCATTTTGATGCGAAAATAAACCCCAGCAGCCAGGGTTTACTCTGTATGCTGATCATTCATGGTATGTTGTTTGTTCCCATGAAGGTATAGAACTGTTTCACATCTGAGAAAGGAAGAACCAATCAAATACAAGGCAATTGGTCTTGAATAAAGCATTTGATTTTCCTGTGTTGGAAAATTCAATGCCATCTAGATGTCAGTAAAGCGAGGGGGGAAAGCTTTTAGCTCAATATTTTGCTTGGTTTGTGCCACAAAAGCACCTCATTGTCCTCCCTGCTGGACTGTAGCCTTCCACATGCTCTGCTCCATCAGGCTTGGGTTTTATGTGTTCGGGCTCAATTTGGATTATTTGCCACTTTCACACTGTGAGCATCCACAGAGAAACAAAGTTCCATATACTGTGACCCCTTCTCCTATATTATGTAACCTATCTCTTTAACAAACCATAATCCATATCATGCTCACTCAGCACCAGTTAATTTTTTTCCCTCTAATTATTTCCAAACACATCCCGGCTCTAACATGTATTATAAGATGGCATGTGTATAATCTGTCAGGATGGAACATGCCTTTGGCTGTGCTTTTCCTCTGTTTCCCTCCTTCCAGTTACTCTCAGCACATCCTTCCTTCTCTGTCTCCGTCTAAATTTGCTTGGCTGCATCTTTCATCCTAATGTTAGATTTACAATTCACCAGCCAGAGCCGGCTGCTTCCGTATTAATCTAAATTCAATTGCCAAATCAAAGCCCTAATTTGTTATCTTGTCGTGATTTTTATTTTTCTGGGGGGGTGGGGGGTGGTCGTCTTTTGGCTGAGTGTGGTTGTACTTTAGCATATGCTGTAAAATAATTAGTGTTTTTCTTTTTACCCCAAAAGTCAGGGTGGGTATGTTGGACTCACGATAGCATTGAGATTAATTGCTACTTCTTGTGTCATCTTTTTACACTTGCCGTTAGCAAATCTATATGATTGACACCTGAAATGATCTTTGCTGTTTTATGGCTATATGTTAACTCCCATTGGCCTTCACCTTGTCAGCTCTCTGAATTATCTCTACAGCTTCCCACTTTTTTTATTTTGGAGAATGCCGATGTCAGTGCAAATCTCCTGGAAGCTAAATCTTCTGCTTGATGTGGAGCATTTCCTCCAGGATTTCCTACAAGTTCCACCGAGGGAGCTAGGACTGTGGCAACAGGAGTCTCTCCATCAGTTTATGCAATGAAGAATGACAACTGTAGCAAATCTGTCAGTGCAGAATCCCTCAGAGACCTCCGAACACAAGTGGCCAGGCACTGCAAATACAGCGCCATTTCAGCAATGATATTTCACCTCATTTAACTGTCTAACTTAATGGCAGAGTCCCTACCTCAACCTCAGTCAGAGAGTCTCATGTAAAGAAAAAATAATTCTATTTAAGCAGTTAATGGCAGTAATAAGAGCCTGGGTTTGCTGGGATGAAGTATTGTACAATGATGTTGAAAATGTAGTTGTGATGAACACAAGTGCTTTCTATCTTTCAGAATCCTTAATGTGTATTGCAGACTTACATGCTGTATGTTTTCTTTATGGTAGGATTAAAATCGACAGCAAAATGCAAAATTCACTAAGAATTTGAATATAACTGTTTAAATGTTTTTGATGTTAATACATGAAAGTTATGTCAGAAAATATAACCAATGGAAATATTTAAAGTTTGTACAGAGACAAAAAACAAATGTGCCCTTCTTGTAAAATAAACATATGTATTTTTTTTCTATCTATTTTTGATGTGTTGTTTTTTTTTTTCTCCATATTTTTAGAATTTTTTTTATTTATTTAGATTTCCTTTGACTCTCAGTGGGTATGGGATGGTAATGCCACTGCGGAAGA